CACGGGGACAGGGGGACAGGGGGACAGGGGGACACGGGGAACGGCCCTGGTGGGGTCTGGACACTGGGGACAAGGGCTGGAATAATCGGATTTGGGCTGGAGATAAACAGGAGCTGATGGGAACGCACGGAAATTCTCCCCTCCCGAAATTCCCACTTTGTTCCTGGTGGAGGAAAAGGGAATCGGGCGCTCCTGGGGCAACTCTTCCCGTGTGGGGTGAGGCAGAGCTGGCCCCGCTGGAGATTCAGCCCCTGAGTTTTTATGGAGTGAGGAGGGAGCCGATCCTGCGTGGGAGGGGGAGCATCACCCACCCCTAGCCAAAATTCCACCTGCGGGGAGAACGGCGGGGTCAGCCCCATCCCTGAGCGAGGGCAAAACCCCGCGGAGCTGCGGGGCTGGGAGAGGCAGACAAAGGCAGGCAGGGAGCGCTGAGAGAGGGGAGCGAGGCAGGGACGGGGTTAAAGCACAGCCCCATAAAGCCCAGGATGGATTGCGTCTCTCCTAATAGACTGCGACAAACGGGGCCGGGGCACGGCACCGCAGCGCTTTGATGCATCCTTCCAGCAGCACCGGCTGCTTCCACAAAAACGCTGCAGCAGCAGCGGAGCAGCAGCGGAGCAGCAGCGCATTCCTGCCCTCTCCCCCTTCCTTCCCTCCCCTTCCCAAATATCCCAACCCAAAGCCACCCGAGCCACCTGTTCCTGTGGGGCTGGCACCCACTTCGGGCCTTTCCTCGGCTTGATTTACGGCTCTGCAGTTTGAGCAAATAAATCTGCATTTGCTGAGCTGAGCGGGGGCGGGGGACACTCCTGGGGTGGCGGGGGACATCAAGACATGGGGCCCGTGCACCCCTCGGCTCAAGGACAAGGGGGTTGTGCACAGAGCCCTTCGTTGCTCACAAGGTGCCCGGGTGGTTTGGGCTCGGATTTGGAGAAACCAGAGCTGCTGGGAGAAAAGCCAAGAGGTTTTTGCCCGTGGAACTCCAGACTGAGCCCCGTCCCCACCAGCTCCGCTCTGTAACTAAACCTTAAATAAACCCAAAATAAAATTTCTCGACAGTTTGCCCAAAATCTGCCTGATCTGGGCTGTTTTTCCTGCCTCGGCTCCAGCCTGGCCACGAACCCTTTCTGTCCACGGAGCTTTTGCCGACCCCGAGACGCTCCCGAACAAAGGAAGAGCGAGCGAGGGAGAAGCGGCGGCGCCGGTTCCGCAGCGCCCCGGAAAGCGCCGGCCCTGCCAGGGAAGGGACGCCCACATTTCTCCATGGCTTTGGCCCCCAAATCCCCGGGTTTTGTGGAATTCGGCCGGCTGTGGCGGGACCCTGCTGGGATGGGAAATGACCCCGGGTTTTGTGCGGAGCGGCGGGGCTGGGATGAATATTTAGCAGGCGGGCGGTGTCGGAAATCTGAACACCTGAGACGGAGAGAGGATAAAAATGAAAAAGAAGAAAATTCCCAGCTCTCCCGCTCCGTTTTGTACTAAAGAAATGGGATTTTTAGGTCAGGGAGGGAAGAGCCAGAGGTGCAGAGCAGGGTCGTGCCTCTCCCACCAGCCCCAGCCCAGCCTCGCCAACGCCAGGTTTATTTTAATCTTTCATTTTCCTTCATTGCCGGATTTTTTTTTTCCCCTAATTTTTTTTTTTTTTTTTTCCCCGGCACTTTCCGTGCGTCGGGCGCGTTACAGCTCTATTTAACATCTTTATGTGGGCTCACAGCTCGGGAGCTCTCTCCTTCCCTGCGCACAAACGCTCACAGACACAATATATCTTTCTGCACACATTTCCAAACGCCGAAAGCCAGAGGCTGAGTCTGGCACTTGGGTTCTAAATCATGTCATTTTACACAGAGAGGGGAAGCAGAGGGGGGAGAGGAGCGGGGGAAGAGAAGGGAAAAAAATGGAATGAGTTAAAGCCACAGCACTGGCTTTAATATTTAATCTCCTTCCATCAGCAGCTGACATACAGCAGGGTTATTTCAGCTGCTATTTTGCGGGTGTCGGAATTAAAAAGAAGATGTTGGCTGTAAAGCCTTTGGGGCGAGGGACAGGAGCAGGGTGAGCGCTGCCAGCCGCCCTCGGGCTTTCCCCGGGCTGCAGCTGCCCCTGTGACCCCAAATTTGGGGTTTTTTCCTCGTGTTCGGGGCTGGGCTGGCTGAGCCCGGGGTGTCGCAGCTCTCTGGGGCCCCACGGGCTGTGCCAGCCCCATGGATGGATGTTCCGGGGCCCCACGGATGGATGTTCCGGGGCCCCACGGATGGATGTTCCGGGGCCCCACGGATGGATGTGCTCGCTCCTGGGGCGCGCCCTGAGCCCGGCCCCGGGCTGGGCATTTCTGCTGCGGTTCCAGGAGCACAGCGTGAGGAACGGGGGTGTCCAGAGCTCAGGGCTTCTCCCCATTTTTGGTGCGGGGTGGGGTCAGGCCGGAGCGGCCGCAGGTCCCCAGGCCGGGGGATCCCGGAGCAGGAGCTCTCCCGGTGGATTTTAACCTTGCCAATCCCGCTCGGAGCCCACCAGCGAGCCACTCCCCCGGCCACAATTCCCCGCGGAGCAGCCGGGGCGTAGCTGCGGCTCCCGGCCGGGGGGGCTGAGAGCCAGCGCTGCCTCCCCACGCTCGGCACGGCGAATTAACGAGCGGAATTAACGAGCTGTCAGCAGCCGAGCCCTGCTCCGACCTAACTCGGCCCTGGAGCCACCGTGGCCACAAGGCTGGAGCCACCGGGGCCTCAGGGACACACCTGAGCACGGGGACACAGCAGGGAACAGCAGGCGCTGCAGAGCCGGTCCCAGCCCATTCCCAGCCCGTTCCCAGCCCGTTCCCAGCCCGCAGAGCCGGTCCCGCAGGGCAGGGTGGCTCAGGCGGGCTCGGGGTGTCCCCGCGGCCGGGGGGACCCCAGGCTGGCGGTCCCGGGGTGAGCGATGTGCCCCCGCTGCCGGCTCGGGGCCGGGCTCCATCTCCCAGCTGAGCAATGCCGGGTTCATTCCCTCCCCGGCTGCACGGATTAATTCGCTAATGTGCCTAAAGTGCCCCGATCGGGAGTGATTCATGGCTGGG